CCGACAGCCCCGTGCCCCCGAGCCCCTGCCAGAGGGGCCTGCCCCGAGCCGCCTGGCCCCCGCCGCTGCCCCCTCCCGAGCTGGGAAGTGGCGCCCGCCTCCCGCCCCGGGAGTCCCGGGCCTCCAGCTGTGGCAGGGAGGGCGGGCGCGGCTGGGAAACTCCGTCGCGGGCGTCGTGGGTGGGGGCCTCAGGGGGGTCGCTGGAAGGGTTGGGGCGGCCGGCATGGGAGGTGGTCTTTCCCCAAACCCAACCCAGCGCCCTTTCCGCAAGTTATAGGGGTTCTTTCTCCTTAGCTGTGAGGAAGCATTAACCTAATGTGAAACTATGTAAAATGGCAAGAAAACTTTTCCCTTGCTTGCTAACGTGCGTGGAGTAGGGGTCCCTGGGACGTGCAGGTCGCCACCTGGGCAGCCCTGGAGCAGGGGGACTGGCTGGCCCGCGAGGCCCTGGGCGGCCCGGCTGTGGCTGACCCCTTCCCCTGCGCTGTATTTCATTAGTCTTTGCTTTGGAACAGCGGTTTTCAACCTTTTTCATCTCATGGCACACGTACACTAGTTACTAAAATTCTGCAGCACACCAAAAATATATATTTTGCTGATCTGACAAAAATAGGTACAATTTCGATTCATTCACACTCAATAGCCCTTGTTGTGTTGGCTGTTGTCATTATTTTATTGGACAGCCTAAGGGAAAAGAGGTCAGTGTCCCTGACTAAATAGCCAGGTGTTGCATGTTTTAAAAATTCTCGCAGCGCACTGCCGCCGCACACCAGGTGAAAACCACTGCTTTAGAACGTCGCTGGCTGCTGGGTTGTCCGGCTTTCTTTTCTGGCCTTTGTAATGCCACACTTCCAGCACATGAAGCCCTTTCTCCAGGATGCTCGTGTCCTCCGGGCCGGCCTCCCAGGGTGGACAGTGCCGCCTGACCCCATTCCTGGAGGCCTCGAGCTCCCCTGCATCCCCGCTTCTGTGTCCTTTTTCTCATGGGTAGGAAGCATCGTGGTATGTCTCACCTCAGTGGCTTCTGTGACAGGTTAAGCTCATTTCCTGCTTGGGACTTGGGGAAGCTGTTATCCTCTTTGTCATCAGAGACCAGGGACCTTGATGGTGATCCAAATCAACCTTCTCCCTGTTCAGATGAGGGAACCAGGTCACAAGGGGCCAAGTGACTGGCCCTGGGTCACCTGGTTTGCTGGTGCAGGGGTGCCGGCACCCCAGCCCTTTGTGCTTTTGCTGAGCTAGGACCGTACCCCACTTCGCCTTTTCCCTTCCGGGAGGAACAGCCTGCGCCCCTTCTCTCCCGGGTCTTATTCGCTAAGCCCTTGAATTATTCAGTGTGCCCTCCGTGACTCCCTCTCGGTTCTTCCGTCCCGCAGCCATGGAGCCTGGTGTGTGATACGGGAGTCCGGTGGAGGTCTGACAAAGAACAAGACGGTCAGTCAGTCAGGTCTCCACTACCTGCACCATGTTCACGCTTTCGGGATATTTTAACATACTGAGCAAGGCAGAGATAGATGGGAAAGTGGCAATATTCCTTCAACGCCTGTACTTTTTAAAAGCTAGATATGCCTTCTCCATTATTGCTGAAGATGGGAAGTTGACTGTGTGGAGCTCTGTTGCTATCTAAGAAACATTTTTACCAGCAAGAGGGACCCGCGGGAGAAAGCTGTAGAATCGGAGGGTCAGAAAGGGACCTCAGGGCTCCTAGGCAGGCGGTCCCCAGATGAAGAAACACAGGCCCCTGGCGAGGGTAGGGGAGGCGGGGGGGGGGGGCACTTGCCCAGGGCCTCTTGGGTTTTGGCTGAGGGTTTCGTGAACTAAAAAGGCTCTCTCAGCGGTGCAGGTATCTTTGTACTTCCTGGTGTGGAACAGCTGTATGTCACTTCTCTCAAGGAGTTGTGAAAACTCGAGCAAATCAAAGCCAGCTTTGGGTCTGTGCCTTGAAGACAAGTGTCATTAATAGAGCATGAGAGGCTCAGGTCAGGGCTATGAACTGTTGATCTATTTTAGAAAAGGAAGACATGGCAGATTGTGTTTTCCCAATATGGCACACTCATAAATACCCCATTCCACGTGTTACAATTGGACATTGTCCTCCTTCCACCCGGTGGTGGGGTTTGTGGCTCTCTCCCGCTGACCTGTGAGGGAGGCAGACGTGGTCCAGGGCTCGGTCATGGAAAGGACACTTGGCAGGCTGTCTTTCTTGGGACCCTCGCCTTTGGCACCCAGCCAGTCCTGTTCAGAGGAGGCCCAGGCCACTCGGAGAGGCCGTGTGCAGGGCTCCGTCCAGCACGCGGCTGCCGTCCCGGTCAGCACCCCGCCGGCCTGCAGACGTGCGGGAGAGCGCGCGGGCGGGGAGGCCCACCCTCCAGCCTTCACGGTTTCCAGCCGAGGTCCCGGACATGGTGAGCATAGGCAGGTCGCCCCCTCTGTGTCGCACTGTCCCAGTGCCCGACCCTTGGAAACGGAGCGGGAATAAAGGATTGCTATTGTTTAAGCCAGTAAGTGTTTCATTGTTCAGCAACAGATAGCTGATAAGGACCGGGTGTGAGTGGACGCAGGCCCTCAGCCTGGGGCGTGGGGCCCGAGCACAGAGGGCAGGAAGGTCTCTTGCCCTGCTTGTCAAGGCTCCGTAGAGTCTCTTTACTCGTTGTATCAGGTACTTGCTGCCTCATAAGGAATCACCCCAAAACCTAGTGGCTTAAAACCGCAGAGGTATTTTATTCCTCACTCTGCTGCGGGGTTCTTGCTCCCTGTCTTCTGTGCAGTTGCAGTCGGTGTGGCTCAGCTGGGGTCGTCCGGAAGGCTTCCTCCCTGTGTAGTGGCTGGTGACGGCTGTCAGCTGGGACCGTGGCGGGTTGTCCACTGGAATAACTAAACATGTCCCACCCATGGGGCCTGGCCTTCCTTGTGCTTTGGGGTCCAAGAGCAAGCATCTCAGGAGCACCAGACGGAAACCATACTGCCTTTCATGGACTATTTTCTCAACTCAAAGAGAGGGGACATAGAGCCCACCTTCCCCACCTCTGGAGGGAGGACTTGTGTCTCTGTTAGAAGAGCTTGTGGCGTGGGATTTGTGGTAATCACCTTTAGAAAATACAACCCTTCACTGTCATGCTGCTGGTTTGGTCTCCTCGCACCCTGATTTAGTTAATAATGCAGTCAGTCCTCCTCCTAACCTCTCGAATTTCATATGTGTGCCAAGCACTGTGATAGGCTTAGAGGTTGTAGAGCCTTTTTCCTAAGGAGCAAGGTGGGAGCCAGGTAAGGCACGGCCGCAGATGTGTCTCCATGTAGAGGGGAAGGGCAGGCGGCGTGGAGACAGTGCGGTGGGTGTGTAGCTATGGGAAGGCCTCGCTCCGCCAGGGGAGCTACAGGAGGTCCCACCTGCACTGGGCTCTAAGGGGAGTGTGTGCTTGCCTGTGGGCTGCGGGTGCCGCCAGCGTGCAGACAGAGCCAAGCACCAGCGTCCTTAAGGCGGAGGTACGCGGCCTGCTGAGGCGGGAGGATGGGGTCCGGAGGGGCAGTGGCTGGAGGTGAATCTGAAACGGGATGTTTGAATCAGTTTGTTTTGAAGGCTCTGTGTGTCGTGAGTTTGAGTTTTATTCTGTGGGCAGTGATTCCATCAATAATTAAGGCTTAAAATAATATTTTATGATAAAGAAAGAGTTCAGGTTAATGGGTTTGAGGACTTGATAATGGGATGATAGCATTGAATAACTCTTCCATTTTCATAATTCTGAAATTCTCAGAGCTGGAAATGTTTCAGAATTTAGGAATTTTTTTATATTAAAAAGGATGATTTGGTGCCTTTATGATGTAGTGTTTGGTCTGGAGGAGCACACCATAATCCAACATACTTATTTCTTTAGCAAAATGTATGAATAGACACACTAAGTGAGATAAATAAAGACTATAAATAGCCTCACATTAGATAAGATCAGATTTCACCACATGAGGTTGAGGCAGATTTTATTGCCAACTGAGTGTAGAAAACTCCTGTTTTTCAGCTCTTTTGGACCCGGGGTTTGCAGTTAAGGGATTGTGGGTGTGTGGCATCCACACCGAAGCCAGGCTTTCGGTCACAGGCAAATCTCTTGAACGTTGAGGATCCCAGCACAGCAGCCTGGCACACGGGGGCAGCAGGTCCTTGTCCTCAAGTAGCTTGCAGCTGAGAGGAGGTTTGACAGATGAAGAGCAAGAGGTGGGGTGCTGATGGTTTGAAGGGGAGGTGGACCTCACCTAGTCGTGAGACATCAGGGGAGGCCGCCTGGTAGGCAGGCGAGTCGGAGCACCTCGGGCACACAGGCATGTGCAAAGGCCCTGAGGTGGGCTTGGGTTTGGGGCCTGGAAGGAATCTGGTAGAGTGGAGCAAAGAAAGCCAGCAGAAAGGGGACAGATGAGTGATTGGCTAGCGTTTATGTTGTCGTGTGCCAGGCACTGTTCTAAATACCTGACGTGAACCGTCTCACCCAGTCCTCAGAACAGCCCAATGAGGCATTTGATGAGGTAAGAAAATTGAGTCGTAGAGATGGGAAGAGACCACAGGGCAATACCGAGCACTGCCCTAGGCCGTCTGGGCCACCCAGTGCTCGGCCTCAGAGCAGGGCTTCTGGAGGCGGACGTGGGCTCGGCCAGCCACAGGCCCGGCCTCTGGGCCGGCTTCTCTCTCGGGGCACAGCCAGCGCCTAGAGTGCGTGCGCCCCTGTGTGTGCGCACCCCAGGAACTCCCAAGGAGAGAGCAGTGTCTGGCACTGGGGAGCACGTGGAGAAGCAGCAGGGAACGGCCCTGGGACTGTGGAGGAGCCCAAGCAGAGAAGCTGTGGGGCCTGGGAATGGGTGTGTTGCGTTCTCTTACGGCAGGAGGAGCAAGTTCTGTTCGGGAAGTTAGAGAAAAGAGCCACGGGCTGGAGAACCAGGGCCTGAGTGCGAAGGCAGAGCCCTGGCGGGACCGTGGCAGCTGTCTCCTGTGGGCCGTCGGGCCTCTCTCGGGTTCACAGACGTCCTAGGACTCCAGTCTGCGGAGGGGCCCTCAGAAGATTGCTTTGATGTGGTTGGTGAGCGGTCCATGTTCGGCGCATCCTGAGGGAGAGTGAGGAAGAGACTGGAAATCCACGTGTCTGTCTTCCAGGGAACCCAGATTGGTATGTGATCGCTGATAAAATGGGAAGTGAATGACGCCATGACACAGAAGTGGACTTGAGGTTTCCAAGAAGACTGAGGGTGTAGAGTCGCGGGGTGTGGGTGGTTTCTGGGAGGAAAGACAGGTGGCGGTGCTGGCAGGCGCCGGGGGAGTCTCCCCAGGCGGGTGCAGAACGGGTCTGCTTGCTGGAGAGCCCAGGGGCGCAGAGATTCCATCTGGGGTCAAGGCTGTGGCTGGGATGAGAAAGCGGGGCTGCGGGGCGGAGGGTCACTGGCAGAGCAGCCGGCAGAGCAGGGCACGCACCTGAAGGGTGGGGTGTGCAGGGGACGAGAGCAGAGGCAGGGAGGCCAGGGAGAGGGTCCCACGGTCAGGGGCGGCAGCTGTCCAGGAGCCAGAGTGCATGGCCGGTCCTTGCAGGTCACAGAGTTGGGCAGAGCGAGGGGCTGGCGGGGCCGTGCTTCTCCCCTGGTGGGTGTGTGTCCCAGTCCCTTCCCGCAGCCTGGCAGACAAGCAAGCAGGTTTTGAGTGACTGAAGAATCACTCAATCAAAATTGAGTGAAGAATCAAAATGGTATAAGAACACATGCTTCCTTTACTCAGATTAATTTCTTGTTAACATTTTGCTCCATTTGCTCTGTCTCTTCATATATATGTACATATTTTTGTTCTGAACCATTTGAGAAGTTGCATCTATTATGGCCCTCTATGCCTCATTCCTTCCACATGTGTTACCGCAGAATTGGGATATCCTTTTACATACCACGTATGGCAGTCAGTCAGTCACTAGTGGTACTTGTCTACACAGTCAGGTGGACCAAAGGAGGTTTATAGTTGCTTTGTATGGAAAGTAATACAACAATTCATAAATAACACAAGAATAAACTACGTGTTTCCTGTACTCACAATTGTAAACCTACTTTTGCGCAGCCCGATCCCTGTTTGTCATTTGACCCAATTAATGTCTTTAAAAAAAGCAATTTCATTTGCAGTATAATTGACATACAGTTTACAGTAAACTGTACATATTTACACTTGATCTTAGCCAAAAGGCTGAGGAGCAATAGTAAACTGTACATATTGAAAAAGTACAATGTGATAAGTTTGGACATACATGTACACCCATGAAACTGTCGCCACATGTCCCCCCCCCCGAAGTTCTCTGTGTCCTTGGTTAGATCTCCCCTGCTGTCCTCCCAGCCCTGCCCCCCGGCAGCCACTGGCTTGCTTTCTGTCACTGTGGGTTACTTTGTATTTTCCTGAGATTTATGTAAGTGGAATCATACTGTGCGTGCTTTCTTTTGGTCTTCTACATCTTGCTTATTTGAGGTTCATCCATGTGTTGTGTATATCAGTAGTTTCTTCCTTCTTATTGCTGAATATTATTCCTTTCTGTGGGTAAACCACAATTGGTTTGTTCGTATTCCCTTTTGATGGACCTTTGGGTTGTTTCCAGATTTTGGCAATTATGAATAAAGCTGCTATAAACATTCCATATAGGTTTTTATGGGCATGTCTTCATTTCTCTGGAGTATGTATCTAGGAGTGGATTTGCTGGGTCATATGGTAACTGTCTATTTAGCATTTTGACAAACTGCTATAAAAGGACATTAGTTCCATACCTTGCACCATATACAAAACTTAACTCAAAATGAATCATAAACCTAATGTTAAACCGAAAACTAGAAATTAAAAAAGAAAACAGGGCTCTCGCCAGGTGGCTCAGTGGGAGCGTCGTCCAGTACACCAGAAAAAGGTTGCGAGTTGATTCCAGGCAGCGCATAGAACCTAGGTTGCCCAGATGATACCTGGTCCAGGTGAGTACGAGAGGGAACCCGTAGATGTTTCTCATGTTGACGTTCCTCTCTTTCTCTCTCTCTCTCCCCGCCAAATCAATAAACAAAGGATATCCTTGAGTGAGGATTAAAAAAAAAAAGAAAACGGAAAAAGCTTTGTGACTTTGGGTTAGGCAAAGATTTTTCAGATACAATGCAAGATTCATAAAAGAAAAACCCATGATAATTGGACATCCTTAAAATTAAGAACTTTTCTCTGATTTGACACTGTTGAGAGAATGGAAGGACAAGTTTTTGCATTTTTGTTAGTCTGATGGGTAAGAAGTCTTATCTCAGTATAACTTTAATTTGCATTTTTCTTATGAGTGAAATGGAACATCTTTTCATATGTCTAAGGACCATTTTAGTCTCTTTGCCCTTGTTTTTTAGAAAAGGATTTTTGGTCGCCTTTTTTTTTTGGTCTCTTTTTTTTTAAGTTCTTCGTCTATAGGATATTAACTCTTTATTTGTGATGTATGTTGCAAATATTCTCTCCCAGTTTGTCACTTGAATTTTTACTTGACTTACATGTTTTTAGCAAATCCACGTCTAGTTATATACCACAGAGAAATGAGAAATACTTTTATGCAAAAGTATTTTATTTATTGTTGGATCAGGATTTCAATCATGCTTTGAAAGCCTTTCCCTATACCCAGGTTATAGAGGAGTTGATCCATGTTTTCTTCTAGCATTTTTATGGCTTTTTTTTTTTTTTATTTAGATCTCTGAGCCACTTGGAAGTAATTCTTACATACAGATCTAATTTTATTTGTTTTTTCCAAATAAATAGTTGTTACAACACTACTACTAAGACAATATTTTGCCCCAGGATTTCTGAATAATTACCTTTATCATACATTAGATTTCTCTGTGTAGCTGGGTTTATTTCTGGAGTTTTAAATTCTATTCCATTGAATGATCTGTTTATTTACATACTGGCACCACATAGTTTTAACTACAGAGGTTTTGTAATATATAATATTTTAACATCTGATAGAGCTAGTCTCTCTTCTCAGCTTTTTCATTATTTTCCTAGATGTTCTTGCAGGTTTATTTTTTCATTGAACTTTAGTGTCAGTTTGTCTAGCTTCATAAAAAGGTATTTTCATTGAGAGTTTTTATTATGCTGAGATGTCCTACATAAAAACAAGGGACTTTTAAGTAATTTGTGTCTTTCAGGAATTACAATTTTTGTTCATATAGGTTTTGAGTATTTCTCATTAGGTTTATGACTAAAGAATTTACATTTTTCATGGCGCTTGAAATAGGGTTTTTTTTTCTCATCCATTTTTTTCTAATGGGCTGTTTGTGGGTGTGAAGGCTATTGATTTTTGCGGGTTAATTTTTATACCCTACCACCTTGGTCAGTTCTTCGATCTTTTTTTTTAATCACGCAGTCTCAGAATTTTTTTGATTGTGTTTTTTTATCACGTGCTTTCTTAGAATTTTTATAACGCACTCTGCTAGTATTCTCACAGAGTCAGCAAACAGGGACAGTTTGCCTCTTTCCCACTTCTCCGCCTTTAATTATGTTCTGTGTTCTAATTGCACTGGCTGATCCCTCCACGTAGATGGTGGGCGCTCGGCTTTGCTCCTGACTTTTGTGGGAACTCCTCTGGGACTTCCTTACTGGCTAAGGTGCTGGCTTTAGTCCTGAAGTGTGATATTTGACTTTTTAATTCAGCAATCCTCGGGCAGTTCGATTTGATCGGGGGAAGCAGATGGTCTCGTGCACCCCTCCCCCCAGCTTTGGGTGGAAAATGGGAAATGCAGTCAGTCGGGAAGGGAAGGGGAGGTGGGGCTCCTTTGCCCCTCTTTCACCAGCACCGCTCTCCTTCCCCTTCAAACGTGTCTTGCTTTCATGAGGACTCGGGGACTCCTTTTGAGAGTGGGGAGGTGTGGTGCCGCAGTCAGATGCTCCCGCTCAGGTGGCCGCCCAGGTGAGGGGAGGCCGCTCTTCTCTAAGAGGCCCCGGACTTTCCTCCTGGCCCCGGCCTTCTGCACGTACCACCCGTCTCCGCCCCAGGGGTGCTCACGCCTTTGCGATGATGCTTGCCTCTCTCTTCTCTCCTAGGCGCATGGCTGCTTTCTGATCCCAAAGCCCGGAGGACACACCCCCTGGAACTGCGAGGAGTGAGCCCGGCCAGCAGGGCAGCTTGGAGCCCCGGCACCTCCCCCGCGGGGGCCAGGATGCTGAAGAAGCAGTCCGCAGGGCTTGTGCTGTGGGGCGCTGTCCTCTTCGTGGCCTGGAACGCCCTGCTGCTGCTCTTCTTCTGGAGCCGCCCTGCGCCCAGCAAGCTGCCCTCCGACAGCGCGCTGGATGACGACCCCGCCGGGCTCACCCGCGAGGTGATCCGCCTGGCCCAGGACACCGAGGTGGAGCTGGAGCGGCAGCGGGGGCTGCTGCAGCAGATCTGGGAGTACCATGTACGGCGCAGCCAGCGGTGGAGGGCGCCCACTGCGGGCCCACCCGCGCTGCCCCGCGTGCCTGCGACCTCGCCGCCGGCTGTGATCCCCATCCTGGTCATCGCCTGTGACCGCAGCACTGTCCGGCGCTGCCTGGACAAGCTGCTGCACTATCGGCCCTCGGCCGAGCGCTTCCCCATCATCGTCAGCCAGGACTGCGGGCACGAGGAGACGGCGCAGGTGATCGCCTCCTACGGCAGTGCCCTCACGCACATCCGCCAGCCTGACCTGAGCACCATCGCCGTGCCGCCCGACCACCGCAAGTTCCAGGGCTACTATAAGATCGCGCGCCACTACCGCTGGGCGCTGGGCCAGGTCTTCCACAAGTTCAAGTTCCCCGCGGTCGTGGTGGTGGAGGATGACCTGGAGGTGGCCCCGGACTTCTTCGAGTACTTCCAGGCCACCTACCCGCTGCTGAGAGCCGACCCCTCCCTCTGGTGCGTGTCCGCCTGGAACGACAACGGCAAGGAGCAGATGGTGGATGCGAGCAAGCCGGAGCTGCTCTATCGCACCGACTTCTTCCCCGGCCTGGGCTGGCTGCTGCTGGCCGAGCTGTGGGCCGAGCTGGAGCCCAAGTGGCCCAAGGCTTTCTGGGACGACTGGATGCGGCGGCCAGAGCAGCGACAGGGCCGGGCCTGCGTGCGGCCGGAGATCTCCAGAACCATGACCTTTGGCCGCAAGGGTGTGAGCCACGGGCAGTTCTTTGACCAGCATCTCAAGTTCATCAAGCTGAACCAGCACTTCGTGCCCTTCACCCAGCTGGACCTGTCCTACCTGCAGCAGAAGGCCTACGACAGGGATTTCCTCGCCCGCGTGTACGGCGCCCCCCTGCTGCAGGTGGAAAAAGTGAGGACCAGTGAGCAGAACGAGCTGGGGGAGGTGCGGGTGCAGTACACCGGCAGGGACAGCTTCAAAGCCTTCGCCAAGGCCCTGGGAGTCATGGACGACCTCAAGTCGGGGGTCCCCAGGGCGGGCTACAGGGGCATCGTCAGCTTCTTGTTCCGGGGCCGCCGTGTCCACCTGGCGCCCCCGCAGACCTGGGACGGCTATGATCCCAGCTGGAATTAGCTGCCTGCTGGTCTCCTGGGCCCCCTCATTGTCGCGCCGTGGGAAGCCGGCTGCAGATCCCCACAGGGGATCTGCGTCGCCCTCTCTGTTTCTCTCTTGGGTCCACTTATCTTTTTATTATTTTTTTAAATTTTTCGAGTGCACAGATAATAAAGGTGAAGATTATTCTCCCATTCTCAAGACGGTCAAATCAGGGAAACTTCTGGAGTATGTTGGGGGGTGTTAAGCAGGAATCACTGTCATAGGGAGAAACTTGGGCTTGTTGGGGCCACAAGCGTCTACTTGCCAGGTTCTCTCCTGGGGGATCTGCAGAGGCTGGCAGCTTGAGTGCCCTTCACCAGGCCTCTTTTCCGGGTGCTGGCTCCTACAGCCAGGGTGTGAGCCCTCCTTGACCCCCTCCCCCCATGGGAGGGGGAGCTGGGTTTTGTGAGAAGGGGACATATTTGTGGCCAAAACAAGACTAACCAAAGGGGTTCTATCAGGGCCTGGGTGGAGCTGTTAGGTCGTCAGGGTTTATGCCTCCCGCTTGTGTTTCCCTCTTCCTCCCTCGTCCCTGACCTCCTCACAGCTCTTCTGCCCGTGCAGCCCAACAATTCAGGATTCTGAGATGAGACGCTGAAGGGGAAAAGCAAGACCGCGCCTCAGCTCGTCCCTGGCAGTGGGGGAAGATGGTGGGGGAAGGCCTTGCTGTGCTGGGGCACCCTTCCTTAATCAGCCTCAAAGAGACAGACTCTGTCCATGACCCTGGATCCTGTCCTTTCTGAAAGCTGATCCCCCTCCTGTCACTCCAGGCAGGTCCAGTGCTGGCCTGGTTGGGGAGAGATTGGCTCCTTGTTTCCGTTCCCTGGGGCCTGGGCCCGTGTCTCCTAGGGGCCCTGTCAGGCAGGGCAGCTGGACAGGATGGCCCGGCCTCCCTCCCCCCGCCCCACCCCCGGACACCCTGGGTCTGTTCACGGAGGGATGCAGATGGAGGGGCTGAGAGCAATGGCTGTGTTTTTATTTCTTGCCTGATCTCCGTTCGTGGAAGAAAGTTGAAGCTGCAGAACTATTTTCAAAAATAAAAGGCTGAAATGTCAAAAACATTGTGTGTGTAGCTTGTGTCCTAGAAAGGATGAGGGGGTGGGAAAGAAGGTGAAGGGTGGAGGAAGACAGGAAAGGAGGGGAGAGTGAAGACTACAGGAAGGGCAGGCAGGCAGGAGGAAGTGAATCTGTTGAAGGAAGCAAAGCAGTTGACTGGAAGAGGAGGGTGAGGGGCGGGGCCCGGCCCCGGGGAGCTGCAGAGGGGTCCAGTGTGACACAAAGTCCAGACTTGAAGATGGACAGGGCCCAAGACTATACGCACTATGGCCGGTCTTCTCTAGAGGTGGGCTGTGGGGCCTCCGTGGGCTCCGGCCTGCGCGTGAGCCCAGAGGACCAGGGTGGGCTGTGAGGGGGGAGTGTGTGCGCAGGGCGCCCTCTGCTGGTGCAGACCGCATTTCTGGGCGCCCTCCTGCACATGCCCCTGAACTCCAGGCTGCAGAGCTGATGCCTGGGAAGCCCGGCGGTGGCAGCGGCGTCCTGACGGCGACCCCTGTGCAGAGATGCCTTTTGCGCCTCCATTCAGAACCCATACTGGCAGACGTTTCTGAAACTATTCACGCATGTCATGTGTAATGCTGCTTGTGACCTGCCAACTTGACTTCATTAGTGGATTTGAAAACCCCAGGCCAGGTGGCTTTGTTGACAGGAAGCACCAGGGAGCTTCATGCCAGATGGGTCGGCAGCCGCCGTGCGTGCGGCGGGGGCACCAGTCCCCACTGGTGTCGCTCTGGCCCACCTCCTGGACGTGGGAATTCCCAATGTGCCCAGGGAACCAATGTCGCGTTCGCTCTCACCTTTTAGGGTTTTGTGGGGGTAGTTTTGTCTTCCCACGTGTTCCTGGGTGGGTTATTTAACCCTGGGTAGGGCTGTGGTCGTGATCCATCGCTGAGGGTAGGGAAAGCGGCCCCCCCAGCCGGCAGTACTGGGGCTGCCAGACTCCTCGTTCCCAGCAGGTCAGCACTGACCACACTCGCGGCTCTTGGTGCTCCACGACGGATGCTAACTCGCTTAGTCCTCAGAGCAGCTGTGGACAGCAAAGGACTTTCACAAGCAAGGACTTGGACACAGAGAGGCTCCCTCATCCAAGGCCACGCTTGGTTGGGGTGGAGCAGGGGTTCGAGTGGAACCCATGCTGTTAACCACCTAGTGCTTTCCACCCCTTCCCCTTCATCCAGGCGGCCTCCTCCGCCTCCCTCAGACTCTGGCCTCCTCTCCCGGGGCCCCAGGGTGGGAGGCGGGGCCGGACGTCCAGGCCAGGCAGCAGGTGGTCTGCGGGGCTGGGCAGGGCAGCCCTCCCAGAAAGGTTGCGGAGGAGGAACCGCTCTTCCAGACACAGGCCACCTTCGCGGGACTCCCGGTGTCCTGCTCCCCCTCCTTTGGATGTGGGCTCCTGGAGAGGCCATGCGCACCATCTCGGAGCACCCTCAGGTGTGATGCCTGCATGCCGGGCAGCCGCCCCTGAAAACCCACCATCATCCTATGCAGACAAAGTGAGCGGAAACACCAAAGGAAAAGTACCACGGCCGTAAATGCTCCAGAGTTCTGTTAACCTTGAGTGGAAGATTTGAAGATGATTTCATAGAGCGCACCCAGCCGCCCCGGCTCCCAGGCCAGGTGGGCCCTGACAGAAACACTTGTGACTGACCGGCACAGCCTGTGCTGGTTGCAAGTCCCCGTGGATGGAAGGTCTCCGCTGCCTGCGGTGGCCTCATGGGGACCCGCTGTGTTTGTGGGCCCTGCAGCAGCGTGGCCTTGGCACTCCTGCCTCTCCCCAGGCCCACAGCCCTTCACTTCTTCCCGCCGTGTTCCCCCTGCTCCCCTTGCTCCCGGCTCCACCTTCCCTCCACTCCGCCAGGCCCTCAGCCTTTGCCCTCCGCCCTCACTCACCAGGGTCATTCTGATGGGATCTCGTTTGGAGCGTGAGTTGAGTGGGGTCCCAGGCCAGGCCCCCCTGGATCCTTCAGTTCCGTGTCTCATACCTTCCTCCTCCAAAAACATCCATCTATTTTTCACATACAGTCATTTTGCTTTATTCTTACAACTTTCCAGTGGTTTTATCAAAACCATATTTAATTTTGCTAAGGGAACTTACCCAGCAATTTGTGTTTTTAAAAGGCCATTGTTTCCCCTTTAGTTTCTGTGGGCAATGTTATGAGTATTTACATTTCAAAGACATGAGAGAATGTAATTCTCAGAGACACAGAATGTAAATTTTTCTTAAAGTTATATTTATAACATCTATAAATGTAATCAAAGATTTAACATAATTTACTTGACAATGCTTCTCCTGTAATTTAACATACCAAATAAGCCTAATTAGTTTAAGTCCCCTTTTTATAAAGAGAAATTTTCTTTGAGATGTTTCAGGGGCTATTCTGAAAATCTCCAAAGATCTTAAAAATCCCAAAGGTCAAGAAAAAGACTTTTATAATTTTTGAATCTTGGGATGCCTGTCAAACATATCAAAAGTTTTAAAACATTTGGTCCAATAAAATCATAGGTCATTGTGGAACAAAAGTTAACCATGTTATCATGGTGACAAAGAATTTGCAAGCAGGTACAGAAAGTCAAATAGTTGTAAGAAAAACTTCCTCTTCACTATTAAGACTCAGTTTACTTAAGCAATTAAAGACCCAACAACAGACCTGATCAGTGTGGCTCAGTCGGTTGGGCCGGTTTGATTCCCGGTCACGGCACAAGCCTGGGTTGCAGATTCAGTCCCAATTCTCGCCCTCTCTTTCTCCCTCCCTCCCCTCTTTCTAAAAATAAATAAAAACATCTTTAAAAAAGTAAATTAAGACCTGATGAAAAAGAGCATGGGAAATGATTTAAACAAAACAAAATCTTTTTTTTCCCTTTATAATCTCTTATTAAGAGCATGCCAACAGTATAGACAATTCTTTCTGTAAACAGAGAAATCGTATTAAGTTGTAGCTTTACATAAGCACAGCATCGTTATTAAAGCTTAATTTTTAAAAAGCCATTATAATAATTTAATTTTAGCCATTATAACTCTAAGGCAAAATTCTCTCTGCATTCTGAAATAACCAAGATGAAATCATTTTCAGTTTTGCAGCTGAAAGGTATCTCCATATCTTGTCCCATCTTTTATTGAAAACACGTATCAATTCCTTTCACATTATTTAGAATTTTTAACCCTAACAGAGATAAACTTTTATTTTTATAAATCCAGATAAAGTAAAAAATATTAAATGTTGCTAACTTTAAAGACATGTCTGTTTTAATTAAACCAACAAAGTTAAATTAACTTTAATATTAAATAATTTCTCAGACTATGTGATCCTGAAAAACATTTGGAAAATTTATGTAAACAATTTCTTTAAACCAATTAAACAGAGCTTTTTATATAAGTGTCTAATAATTTCCTCTAGAGGTGGATATACATAGACAAATATAGACAGACACAGCCAAATAACTTCATTAAAAATTTTTTTTTTAGCCACGAGGCAGGTGCAATAAGGTAAAACATTAATTTATAGTAGCTGGAATAAGTGTATTCTTTCAGATGGCTAAGTCTTTAAGATTTGTGTTTGTCCTTGATAAACACTTTTTAAGGGGACTAGCGGGTAGCAGCTGCTTAGGCAAGGGAGGCTTTTCAGCTGCTTGTGCTCTTAAAACTTTCTTTTTCCATTTTATTTCTTTGGTTCGTTTGGTCTCAGGCAGCTGTGGGCTGTGTTTACACTCCTGGTTATTGGTAAGACCTTAAAGGTTACTGAGAGACTTCAAAAAAATTCTATTAGTCTATGGCCATACCACCCTGAACGTGCCCGATCTCGTCTGAAAAAATTCTATTAGACTTCTCATTTTAACAAATTTACTTCATAGAGTCTTTAAAGTTTTTTGAAATATCTTGTCAGGTTTCAGGCAGGACAAACAGTAAGCAGTTTTAAAATACCCACTCAGATGTGAAATTATTTTGTCTTTTAGAAACTTCTGCTTATTAACCAAAGAATGTATTCCACTGTCCAGGAGAAGTTTGAGTTCCTCTCCTTGTAAAATCTCTTTTTTATGGCAAGCAACGGAGACAAGAAAAGGAAACAAAGGAGCACAATTAAATGAGTGCTTACCCATCGGGAAAATGGCGTCCCTTCACTCCTGAGGCATCGCATGGCACGCGAGCACCTGGAGCAATCGCCTCCCCGCTCCCCAGGGAAAACCCCTCCTGAGAAAAGGAAGGAGAGCCCGGAACTAAGAGGACTTCGCCACCAGGGAGACAGAAGTGTACGCCCTGTAGGTATATAGCCGCTTCCAGGGGACGCTGGGCCATGGAGCTGAGGCCACTTGAGATGCCTTTGCAGTCGCCAGATGTGCTAACCTAAAAATAAAGGCCTTTCAAAGTTAGAGCAATAAGCATTTATTTATTTATTTAAAATATTTTATTTATTTTTAGAGAGGGAGAAAAAGAGGAAGAGAAACATCAATGTGTTGTTGCCTCTCGCGCGCCCCCTACTGTATCAACAGGGGACCTGGCCTGCAACCCAGGCATGTGCCCTGACTGGGAATCAAACTGGTGACCCTGTTTCGCAGGCTCAATACACTGAGCCACACCAGCCAGGGCAATAAGCATTTATTGAGATCATATTGAGGCAGGATAGTAAGAAGCTAGGAAAATTCATTGGAAGTGGGGTAAGGAGACTAAGATAGCAGAGGTCACTAAGGTAGAAAGCCTTGGGTGCCTAGCAATGGGCAAAACTAGTGCCAACCCCACCCCCAGGTTGGCCTTCCCTCCCCTGGCATATCGCTGGTCACGCGGTTCAAACCCCCAGCCCTAGCACGTCGTCATTGGAGGCCAGGAGCCTGGAAAAGCACTCCTGGAACGCTGATGAATATTCTCTCGAGACCCTCCCCTGAGGTCTTCCCTAAACTCCCAGCCTTTAAAACCCTCAAGACAGGCCCAGCACGGGGAGCGGGGCCAGCGGGTAGACACTCTCCCAGGAGCATGCCGGCACCTTTCTCTTCCCCCTCTTCTTCCACCACTG